AGGAGCAACTTAAGAAACTGCAAGTTGGTTCTGGTGTGAGAGAATTGGCCGTCTGCAAGGACAGTGCCCAGGGGATGCCCAGATGTATTTTGATGTTTTACCATCCTTGTGGGAGGCTTCTCTCATGTCCCCACATGGGGAGCTGGAGCTGACAGAGCAAGCTCAACCCACTCTCCTCAGATTTGAACCGCTGATCTATCGATCAGCAGTCCTGCTGGCACAAGGGTTTAACCTTTGTTTAAGGCTGATACACCAAATCTGATCATACCTGAGTGAAGAGAGCCTGGCTACAAATGCAGATGTTGTATACCAGGGGTCTTCAAACGTTTTAGGCAGAGGGCCAGTTCACATTCCCTCAGACAGTTGGGGGGGTTGGACTATAGTTTGAAAAAACAAAAACAAATTCCTATGCACACTGCACATGTCATATTTGTAGTACAAAGAAACATGTAGGAAAATGCAATATTTAATATGAAGAACAATTTTAAACAACATAAACTTTCCAGTATTTCAGTGGGAAGTGTGGGTCTGCTTTTGGCTGATGAGATAGCCAAGTTAAATAGGATTATTATTACTGGCTCTCTGCCTAAAACTTTTGAAGAGCCCTGGTATACAGCATCTGCATTTGTAGCCAGGCTCTCTTCACTCAGGTATGATCAGATTTGGTGTATCAGCCCCCCTGGTGGTGCAATGGGTTAAACCCTTGTGCCAGCAGGACTGCTGATCGACAGGTCAGTGGTTTGAATCCGAGGAGAGTGGGTTGAGCTCCCTCTGTCAGCTCCAGCTCCCTATGTGAGCTGGGGGGAAACCTCCCACAAGAATGGTAAAACATCATGTATCTGGGCATCCCCGTGCAATGTCCTTGCAGATGGCCAATTCTCTCACAGCAGAAGCAACTTGCAATTTCTCAAGTCACTCCTGAAACAAAAAAGAAAAAGAAAAAAAGCTGAAGCTCAAGTCAGCCTAAAGTTTAAAGCGGGGGCCAAATCAAGGGCCTTGGAGGGCCACATCTGGCCTACGGGCCTTAGTTTGGGGATCCCTGCTGTGTACAGTTCCATCTATGTGTGCACTCCTTTTAAATGCACCCTGGAATGGAAGTTCAGAACAAGGCCCCAAGATTATTAACTCAGACAGGTTCTTCCAGTAATGTTAGCTCTGTATTTGGGTGCAGCTTCTACACTGTAGAATGAACACAGTTTGACATCACTTTAACTGCCATGACTCCATTCTATGGAAGCATGGGAGTTTTGGTTTCATGAGGACCCAAGAGTCTTTGGCAGAAAAGGCAAGAGAGAGAGAGAGAGAGAGATTATAAAACTAAAACTCTCATCATTCCATAGCATTTGTTCTATAGTGTAGATGCATAATTTATCGCTGCACCGACTTCCCAATCATTTTTTCACCTAAAATGCCTCCTTTCTCTTTAAGGTGCTTACATAGCTTGGGGCCATCTCAGTTAAGTTCACAACATGTTTAATCTCCTTCAGGGACTCTACACCAAGGGTCCCCAACAAATGTGGGAAGGAGGGTGGTCATGAAAGGGAGGGCCTATTTCAGAACTGGCACCATGATCATAGAACAGCCTTATTAGATTCTCTAGGCACTATCATTATTATATTTTCAGTGCAATAAAATAGACAACAGGGAAGTGTGCCTAGATCAGGCATGGGCAGACTTCAGCCCTTTTGAGTTGAAGTCCAAAACACCCGGATGGCCCAAGTTTTCCCATGCCTGGCCTAGATTAATTTAATTTGTTATCTATACAAATGGTGCTGTGTATAGATAACACACAATTACCTGAAAATCCTGTGTGAAATCCAATGATAAAATATATCCTTTACAATTTCTCCCACAATTCTTAGGTTTGGTTGTGATCTTGTTTAGACGAATAAAGATTCAGAGTCCAAATATTAATACTTTTTTAATTATACTGACTAGAACGCCAGAGTTCAAATATGTTGGATGCTGGTACAAAAATAACCCAATCCTTAAAAATTATACTTTGGATCTACAGTACTGTATAATTAGTGAAGACTGAAAATAAGATACAAATTTAAATAACACTGTGCTTGAAAATTAAAACAAAACAACTCCGAAGTTATGTACACAGATATGCAAAGTTGACATCTAGAACAATGTACAATAGATAATCACAAGTCAACGGACAAGTACATTCAGAGTCATCATGAAGACACACAACAATGCTTTGTCTTTCTTATTTGAAAGACATGGGAGACATTATACAGCAGGCTGCATTGAGAATGGTAGAGGTGACAATGGCTTAGGTCCCATCTACACTGCCATATAATGGTCTACACCAGGCATGGACAAACTTTAGCCCTCCAAGTGTTTTACACTTCAACTCTCACAATTCCTAACAGCTTCCCGGCTGTTAGCAATCATGGGAGTTGAAGTCCAAAACACCTGGAGGGCTGAAGGTTGCCCATGCTTAGTCTATACTGACCATATCATGCATTTTGAAACTGCACTTATATGACAGTGTAGATGGGACCACAACTTGTATAGTCCTTACACAATTCTTTCGTTTATTTTCTTTTTTGGAAGAAAAAAGCCAAAGGTTTCATTCAAAAACTAAAACTGTCGAGGAATGTATATTGGATTCTATAAAATCGTTTTCTTTTTAAAATTTCTGCAGAAAGATATAACAAAGATGCAACTCTCCAACAAGCTTTGCAAAACCCCATCTGTTTTCCCTGACAATTTCACAGGATCTTCTGTGAAAGAGCAAACTGAGCAGTACTCAAAATACCCTTACAAAGATATCTAATAATAATATAGCCCAAAGATATGTTGCCTACATGATCATTGAAATCACATATCTCATATGGAAAAGTGCTGCATGGTCTTTGTGAAAGTACATAAGTTCATAACCTTGAATATTTTTTGCAAAATACTCTATTGTCAAAAGATTTCAAGATTTTCTCCTCTGTAAAAGATATCCAACATAGGTTTCCTCCAACCATCAGCCAAGCACATGATGAAATTAGAGGTGGGGGAGACTCAATGAAGCCTCTAATGCAGTGGCTCTCAAGCTGTGGGTCGCCAGGTGTTTTGGCCTACAACTCCCAGAAATCCCAGCCAGTTAGGATTACTGGGAGTTGAAGGCCAAAACATCTGGAGACCCATAGCTTAGAAACCACTGCTCTAATGAAACATTAAAAACTGATTATTTCAAACAAATAAACCTGAGGTGGAATGATCAATTCATTTCGACTAACAGGATAATCCTAATGCAAAGCTGGAGCCTCTGAACTCCCTTAAGCTCCACAAGGCTAAAAAGATGGTATAAATTCTGTGTTGTGATCAGCATGTCCAAGGCTTCCCCTTTCTGTTCAAATCACACTCTAACAACACCATATCCCCCATTTCCTAGTTTTGGATAGTGACAGGATATGAAAATATCGATAGTGTGTGGATGACTAATAAGCTACTTTGAATTGTACAATGCAAATATGATTGAAAGTCCAAAGTTGTCAAGCAGTGTTTGCCCAGTTTTGTCAAAAAAAAACCTGATAAAATGGAATCTTTTTATGGATATAATAGCTTTTCCACATCCAAAATAATATCTCTAAGTGTCTTTACAAGAGATGGGAATGCATGATGCTACCTTATCCTGAATCAGCCTAGTGCTGCCAACTCTGACTGGCAGCAAAGGGAATCAAGGGGGATTTTTTCTTAGCCTTAGTTGGAGATGCAGTGCTCCAACTGCCTTGGTATTCCTCAGTCGCTTCCACTGGCATATTAACTAGGCCCAACACGACTTAGCTGTCAAAATCAGAAGACATGTTCAGGGAGATGCAGGATATGGTTGAATGGACATTTCTGTAAGTGGATTTCTGTGTGGGCACATGTACATACTTACCCACGCTGAACAGATGGCAGGTGCTGCTAGATCTGTTACAGCTGACTGCACTGACCATTCGACAAGGGTAAATCTCATGCAACAAGTATCAGCTTATACACAGCATACTAGTTGCGTATTGTGGCAGGGGTTCCCCAAATGCACAAGCTTTTGACACATATGAATCAATTTTTTTAAAAAAAAATCAAGGCAAATCCAGACTATTTTTCCTATCTGAAAACACAGAACCAGTCTTGGGATATAACCCAAATAAATTCACATAATTACATCATGACACAGAAATGACAAAACTGAACTGAAAGCCTCCCAAATTGAAAACTGGAAATCCTGCTGTCAAATGGCTCCCATATAATTTCAGAGATTTTTCATTTTTCATCATTTGCAAACAAGACAGAACAGACTGCTTTTGCCCTGTCCACTTCTATTCATAGAGAGACTTGGTATAGTTTGGCATTAAAATGTGACAGATTTTTGCAATGTAATTTTACAGTATGTTTAAAGGAGACTACCAATAGGGAACTTTAATTGACAGGCTGGTCCATGAGGTCATGAAGAGTTGGAAGTGACTAAACAAATAAACAACAAAAAAGGAAACTAAGTTGAATCCAACTCCCCATAAACATCACAAGATATAATTGAATTTAATTGATGTTAAGCTAGCTAATCCTCTTATATGAGAATTAGGTGCTTTTGTTGCCTGAAAAAAGATGGAAGGAAGAGTGGGAAAGCACTGGAGAACTACACATTCAGGACATGCTCATCTGAGTGCCCTGTAAAGGTCTCTGCATGAGGCAAGGTGACTGCTTCATTAAAGCTCCTCGTAGAAGCATCCCAAATCATATTTGCAAAGTATCATTGGTCACATCTTTCTGAATATCTCTTCAAAACATCTGGGGAGCCAGTGAACCTTCATCCTGGAGTTATAGCTTGAAAATGTTTGTGGGATCAGGACAAAGGCAAATGTAATAGTCTGTAGAAGGTATGGCCAGGGGGCAATGATTACTGTTTTTAACAGATATGGAAATGTATTGTCAAAAGCTTTCATGGCTAGAATCACTGGGTTGTTGTAGGTTTTTCAGGCTATATGGCCATGTTCTAGAAGCATTCTCTCCTGATGTTTCGCCTGCATCTATGGCAGGCATCCTCAGAGGTTGTGAGGTCTTCACAACCTCTGAGGATGCCTGCCTCACAACCTCTGAGAATGCCTGCCATAGATGCAGACAAAACGTCAGGAGAGAATGCTTCTAGAACATGGCCATATAGCCCGAAAAACCTACAACAACCTAGATATGGAAATGCCTGGACGAGAACGTGTGAAGGAAAACAGAGGTAAGCGATATTGCTACGCCCTTAGAACATAACTGAGGGACAAGACAAGTCATGAAGAAGGAATAGGACACTTATGATAAAAGAGGACCTTGAGATTCCACAAAGATGGCCCAACTCTTGGCCACATTCCAGGGCACATGACTTCTATTGGGTGAGTATCTCCCTAGTGTCTACTAATAGATATCTGGGGTTAAGGAAAGGGTTCTTCCTACGAAATTCATTTGAGGCAGCTTTTCATAAAAGATGGGCAATAAAAACACAACACTGCATATTATCTGTAAACACAACACACCCTAGTGGCATCAGTTTTATAGTGTCATCCACAGTGTTTGTTAGTTTTCCTTTAGTGACCTAATTATCCAATTCACATTATGTGACACAGTTAGTGGTGAGGAAAACACTCAGAATGCACACACTACGTTTCTTGTTCACATCTTCAATAGATCTGTAACCCAACTGGCTTGTGGTTCACCATTCCCTTGTTGTCTGCTGTTCAACAGCAGCTAGAAATGGCTTCTTTCAGGAACCTCTGCTCTGTATTACCTCAAAGTACAAAGTCCCCTTTCTGTATGCAACTGTGACATTTCAGCTGGTGACAGTGTGCACAGAAAACAAGTGGCATGTTAATGCCCACGTTGCCAGTTGACTTCCTGAAATGTCATTAGAAATAGTCTCTTCTTCTGCTGTCATCACAAATGAAGGAAGGGTTGTATTGCCCAGGATAGATGCATGAGTGTCGGGACCCTGGAAGACCTGTGTAGGGTGGATAGACGCCATTTCTTTCTAGCTCAGGATTCCTTAGACTGGTGGGCTAGAAGGATGGGACATACAAAAAAAGATTTAGTAACCATCACTTGTTCCTTATGTGTTTAAAAAAGTTATAAAAAAGATAATATTGTTATGAAATGAAAATATGGAAATCAAGTCAAAGAAGTAAGTACAGTCATTTCTATTCATCATCAGTTCACATGACACTTTAGTTATGCCAGAATTCATGTGTGTTCAAGTTACCTGTCAACTTATGTCAACACCATGAGTTTCACCAGGTTTACTTAGGCAAATGTACTCAGAGGTTATTTTACCAGTTCCTCCTTCTGAAATACAGCCCACAGTACCAAATATTCCTTGGCTGTTTCCCATTAAAATATTAATCAGAGCAGATTTTGCTTTGTTTGTACAATCACACAGGATCTAATGCCTTTGTGGTACATAGGCATATCCACTATAATAATAATAATAATAATAATAATAATAATAATAATAATAATAACAATAATAACAACAACAACAACAACAATAATAACAATTATTATTATTATTATTATTATTATTATTATTATTATTATTATTATTTAAAAAACCAAGTAAGGTGAGACAACAGGAAGTGAGAGGAATCTACCCCTAGGAAGGAAAATCCGCTCTTGAAAGAGTTGTCATGGGGAAAAGGTGTTTCCACTGAAGCTTTCCCACCAATCCAAATTTGTCAAAATCCAATTATCACAGGAACAGAAAGTGAGATGAAATCTTCTGAACAAGTGCACAGACAGCAAAACAAACACCACCTTCCCTATGTGATCCAAAACAAGTATGTGTGTGTGTTTGTGTATGTGCGTGTGTGTGCATACACACACACATTTGGAATTACATTTAAGAAATGTACCTGTTCTGACTTACATAGAAATTCAACTTGAAAACAAACTTACAGAACCTATTGTGTTCGTAAATTCGGGATTGCCTATGGTACAAAGAAGTGGGTTCCAAACTGGGAAAAATTTTCAGTGAAGAACCTTATTGGTTGGACCCAAACCGGCACAGAGCAGAGGTCCTTTAACTGGATGCTCCCATAGACAGAAGGGCAGGCAGGTGTTTGATTTTTGTAAAAAGCTACTCCTTACACTTTCCAAATAGTCCTGGTGAATTAATAGACACTCTTTAATTAACGTGTTGTTATCGGGAGCTGTGGATGAAGGTTGAAAGAAAAAATGGGGAAAAGAGCCTCCTGACTTCTTGCTTCACAAAAGCTACTTTTGTAAATGGGAAATGTATTTCAGTTGTTGGATCCCTGTCCCTCCCCTGGAAGGGGGCAATGCTTATGGATGGTTAGATAATTTTGCCCAATATAAATTTATGTTACAAATGAACTAGACATATGTGATAATGACACATTATACCATCACTATCATATATAGCTATTTGGCTAGAGAGGAGAACAACGCACTTTACTTTTGCAGAACAGAGATTGTAAGGTTGGCCAAAGATATCATTTTGCTGATGCAAGACAAGCAGGAGTGGATATGGGGGAGTGGTGATTATCATGTCCTGCTGGTTGAGTATCCCTTATTAAGAAATCTGAAAAACTCCAAAATTGTCCACATGGGTAGCTGAATGATACCTTTGTTTTCTGATTGTTCAAAACTTCTGTTTCATTCATAAAATTATTTAAAATATTGTATAAAATTACCTTCACCCTATGTGTATAAGTACATGAAATGAAAACATATTTATTTATTTTATTTACTATATTAATAATCCACTTTTCTCACCCCCAAAGGGAACTCCAAGCGGCTTACATAATTTGGCACAATTCAATGCCACAATTCAACAATATACAAACAATACAATATGTAAAAAATAAATCAAGTAAAACACATAAAAAATCATAAAACTTTAAAACATAGTACCTAGTACTGCTGGATCCATATCGCACTACCCAAACGCCTGATTGCATAACCAGGCTTTCACCTTTTTTCTAAAAATCAGGAGGGAGAGGGCCAGACTGATCTCACTGGGAAGCAAGTTCCATAACCAAGGGGCTACCACTGAGAAGGCCCTGTCTCTTGTCCCTACCAACTGCACTTGCAAGGGGGGTGGAGATCTTAACACTCTAACAGGTTCATAGTGAGAAGACAGGAAAGCTTGGAGAAGACAATGATGCTGGGGAAAATGGAAGGAAAAAGGAAGAGGGGCCGACCAAGGGCAAGGTGGATGGGTGGTATCCTTGAAGTGACTGGCTTGACTTTGAAGGAACTGGGGGTGGCCACAAACTGGGGGTGGCCACAGCTGACAGGGAGCTCTGGCGTGGGCTGGTCCATGAGGTCACAAAGAGTCAGAAGCAACTGAATTTTTTTTTTTGGTCGTGTCAGGAGCAACCTGAGAAACTGCAAGTCGCTTCTGGTGTGAGAGAATTGGCTGTCTGCAAGGACGTTATCCAGGGAACACCCGGATGTTTTGATGTTTTATCATCCTAGTGGGAGGCTTCTCTCATGTCCCCATGTGAGGAGCTGGAGCTGATAGAGCTCATCTGACTCTCCCCGGATTTGAACCTGTGACCTGTCAAGTCTTCAGTCCTGCCAGCACAAAGGTTTAACCCACTGCGTCACTGGGGGCTCCTAACTAAACTAATAAACAACAACAAAGTGTCTGGATGGGTAAGCTGGGCCAGAACCATTTAGGGCTTTATAGGCTAAAGCCAGCACTTTGAATTGTGCTCGGTTGCAGATTGGCAGCCTGTGAAGCTGGCGTAACAGAAGGGTTCTGTGCTCCCTGTATACCACTCCGATGAGTAATCTGGCTGCTGCCCGTTGGACTACTTGGAGCTTCCGAAAAGTCTTCAAAGGTTAACCCTTCACGCTTAGGGTTCCATCTTCAAGATATCTCATTATGTATATTAGGTATTAGAAAAATCCAAATATTTAAACCTTCTGGTTCCAAGCATTTCAGATAAGGGATATTGAACCAGTAGAGATGTATAAATGACTCAGTCCATTCCGATCCCTGACTGTGGCAACCTATCTATTTATTTCAGTATTTCTAGGCTACTTTTAGGCCCAATCCCTAGCAAAGTGGCTTCTCTCTTTTTAAAAAATATAAAGCAAAGCAAGTTATATTGTTGAAGCATGGGAACTAGAGTGGATTGGCAGTACCTGCATGTGAACCTTTCATGAAAGAGATGTTGACTGAAAGTGTATCTCAAAGCAACTCAGAAGTAGTTACCATATAGTAAACATCTGTCATCTGCAGTAGGTTTTTAGTGCTCCCATTCTCCTGCATTTCAATGGTTTCTCGTCCCCATTCCTGAACTCTTGGGTTTTTCGGATATTCAGCATAAGGTGACATTTGGAAGTCTCCACTTTTAAAGATGAGTTTACTTATGTCATTTTTATTCTTCCTGAAACAAGAAGACATTTATAGATATAAACCACATCAGAAGGACTCAGGACAGTGATTAAAAAAATTACAAAATTACAATACTTTAATGGTTAGAGCACTGAATTAAGACTGGGGAAATCTGGGTTCAAATCCCCAGTCACCCTTGGCAGATGATCCCGAGTCAATCATCCTTTACTAGTTTAGCCCATTTATCAGAAATGTTTTCAGTATCCAGTATTGAGGAGAGCCCCATGTTTCTTGGAGTAATGGCAGGAAAATAGAAAAATGGTGTTGTTGAAGGCTTTCATGGTCAGAATCACTAGGTTGCTGTGAGTTTTCCAGGCTGTATGGTGATGTTCCAGAAGCATTCTCTCCTGACATTTCACCCTCATCTATGGCAGGCATCCTCAGACCTTGTGAGGTCTGTTGGAAACTAGGCAAGTGGGTTTTAATATATCTGTGGAATGTCCAGGGTGGGAGAAAGAACTCTTGTCTGATTGAGGCAAGTGTGACTGCTGCAATTGGCCATCTTGATTAGAATTGAGTGACCTTGCAGCCATTCAATCAGGGCAGTAAATAAAGAGCAACACTAAAAAAACAGGGGAATTCCAGACAAGAAACAATCAGGGGCAGCTAACAGCTACCAACAAAGGATCCTTCAGACAGCAACCAGCCAAGCTTTGAAGTGGCAATGCCATTCAATGCCAAACAAGGTGGTCATTCACACTTGCCTCAATCAGACAAGAGTTCTTTCTCCCACCCTGGACATTTCACATATATGTAAATCCCACTTGACTAGTTTCCAACAGACTTCTCAACCTTTGAGGATACCTGCCATAGATGTGGGTGAAACATCAGGAGAGAATGCTTCTGGGACATGGCCACACAGCTTGGAAAACTCATAGCAACCCAATAGGGTTTTTCAGAAGAAAGAAACTCTCTCTTCTGAAAAACAAAATATAGTACAGTTGGCCTTCCACGTTTTAACTTTTTTTGGATGTGATTATTCCTGGAGTTGATTAATATGCTATTTCCACCAAAAGTTGATTGCAGGGATATTTAGGAGGATCTAGAGATTCTTAGAAAGATATTCCCTCAAGTCAGAAAAATGGGTTGTTTTTTTCTGCTATTTTCCTTCTCTCATGTGGGTCCTGCCCCACCCCCCATCCCACCCTTGCGAAAGTGCAGGGCCATACTATATTTCCAGGATTTATTTCGTTTTTTCAGCATTTGTAATAATTATTTCTTACTGCAAATGTTCCTCTGGAGGTGCTAATAAGTGTTAGTTCTTATTTTTGCAACAAAAACACTCACATAATATATTTTTTAAAAGAGAGAGAGGTTCACATATATATTAGAGTGTCTCTTAGGTTAAATGCTCAGACTATTGCAAATAATTCAACAAAAGTATAATAAGCAGACAATTCCACCACCCCAAACTTACATCCTATTTTATTTCCCACCAGGGGTATCTATGTAAGATAATTGGAAAATATTAAAATAAATTAGGCATTTGGCCTATAATACATACTGGCAGCAGGTGACTATGAGAGCGATCCCCATGACCAGAAGAAGTCCCCCGCCAGCAGCTGCAATCACAATGGTGATTAACTGGTATGCTAAAACAAACAACAAAAACAGAAGAGTCTCAGTTACAGGTTGTTTATCTTGCAGGTGTAATAAGGCAAATATTAGCTGCCATCCTCTAGTTGCCTATAAAAGTCCATGAATCCTTACAATATTATCTAAGCTGCTGTGATGGCATCGAATGTTTAAGCTCAAGATGAACAAATGAATGCTGATGCACTTGAACCTCTTTGGGGAATTTTTTTAAAAAACCTAGTTGGAAAATAATATTAGATTATCTTATTGTATGAAGGATTCCCATGAAGATAATCCAGAAGATTATCATGGCACTACATGGCCATGAAGGGTAGGGGCTTCAGAAGGAAGGGGAAGACTGCCCAAGGAGCAGGAGAGTTGTTTTGTAGTTCCTCCATAGTGGATCTTTATGCTGATTCTCCCAATACAGCAACACAGCCATTATTACATTCAAGAAAGCAGAGCTGGGATGTTGGATAGAATACTTACGATTCGCACAGTTGAATCCCCCTAAACCAAAAGGACAACTGTAAAAGAAGAGAGTTGTTATATATTTACAACCCTGAAGCATTAATTGAACCAAAGCCTAAGAGTAGACAAGAAGCAAGTGGTTCCCAGTCAGGTATGCTGTCGGATCTTATCACCCAAAACTAACTATTATAACATCTGGTTTGGGACACTATAGAATTGGTTAGCACACAACTTAGTGCACTGCTGGCCACACTAGGAACCCTTCTCTCCCTCCCTTCATGTAATGATGCAAATATGACAGCTGGCTAATTTGGGACTCAGGAATTATACTAGTATCAAAATCCAAAATGATCTAAATGCATGTGGGGGGAGAAAGAAAAAACAGTTCTGTAGACTACTGTACCTTACACAGGTGTCATTTTCAAGTTTATACCCATCTTCACAAGCTAAAGAGAAAGAAAATATATCCATAAGAAAAAGAAAATATAATGGTTTTTACTATATCCTATGTGGATATCTGATCTCTCCCTACTACGCCCTTTCTATACAGTGAATTTGTGACAGAGATTGCTTCTGAAGACTGGCTTGTCATTCAGGAGAAACAATTGCACCATTTTAAAGCACTCAGCCAATATGTTTCACGCTCCTGACAAAACATAGTGATATATATTATTTAAATTGGTTAAACTGATGTACAACACTTTGAGATTCTCTGTTATCAGGTGGGATACAAATTAATCAATCCACCCATCAGTTAAAACTTGTGTGTCAACTGCGACCGTACCTCAAAAACCTTGACTTGGCCACAATGGTCCATGTCTTAGTTACATCCAGCATGGATTACTGTAATGCACTCTACGTGGGGCTTACTTTGAAGATGGTTCAGAAACTGCATTTAGTACAAAGGTTGGCTGCCAGATTACTAACTAGGTCTAGCTATAGGGAACATACTATCCCCCTACTAAAACAGCTCCACTGGCTTCCAACAAGTTTCCAGGCTCAATTCAAGATGCAGGCTATTATTAATTAATTCTGCAAAAAGCAGAAAATTACAATAGCTAAAACATACAACATTAAAATTTAAACAGTATTAAATAACAACATGCAGGGGTTTTTAAAACTTTAAAACAAAAATAAAAAAATATGTAGCACTATAAACAGTCCCCTTTTTTGTATTTGTTAAAAGCTAGTTTCCAAAGGCTTTCTGAAAAAGGAAGGTCTTAAGCCATTCGCAAAAAAGGTAGTCATCCCAGTGAGGGAGTTTCAAAGTTTATGAGCAGCCACAGAGAAAGTCTTCTTCCACATTCCTATCAATCATATCTTTAAACGTGGTGGGATAGAGAGAAGCATCTTCCATGAAGATCTTAACAATCATGTCTAAGCTATTTATGGGCCTTTAAATAACCTGTTCTTGAACCATATAGAGCTTTACAGATCATAGCCAGTACTTTGAATTGTGTCCAGAAACAATCTAGTATATAGTGGAGCTTTTGCCATAAGAGAGTTGTATTGTCGAAGAGGCTTTCATGTTTGGAATCACTGGGTTGTTGTAGGTTTTTCAGGCTATATGGCCATGTTCTAGAAGCATTCTCTCCTGATGTTTCACTTGCATCTATGGCAAGTATCCTCAGATGCTTCTAGAACATGGTCATATAGCCCGAAAAATCTACATAATCCCAATTAGAGAGTTGTCTGCTTCCTGTACCCAGTCCCAGTTAGCAGTTTAGCTGCAATGATTTGGACCAGTTGAAGCCTCTGAACACCCATCAAAAATAGCCTCGCATAGAATGCATTGTACTAATCCAAGTGGGATGAAACAAAGACATATATCACTGTAAACTATAAACAAACAAGCAAGCACAACTGTAAAAATAATAGTGGGAAGATTATGAGAATACACACAATAAAATCACATTCAATACTAAGACAAGGAACTAGCTGCACTGGAACCAACTAACCACTCGAGGTCACTGTGACTCCATTCCAATTCCTGATATTAGGAGCCAGTGGTGCATATTTCTTCTTCCAAATCACACTTTTATCAGAAATCACCTGTGGAGGCCTGAACTGAGCAAAGGAACAGGGTGATGGCAACTTCTTGACTCTTTGGCTTCCTACCATGCTTCTCTTCAGTAACACCCTCTTAATTAACTATTCTTTCTGCTTCCCAAGTGAAAAGATACAGATAATTTTTCTCTATAGGGAAAAAGAAGTTGGGCTGATTTTGAATAGAAAATTGTCAAATGAAGAGTTAAGCATTCCCCTCACCAGATTCCCCATTTTCCACAGACTACGGGCCCTTCCAGACAGGCTCTATATTCTAGGATCTGATCCCAGGTTTTCTGTTTATCCCTGATTATCTGGCAGTTTGGACTCAAATAATCCAGTTTAAAGCAGAAAACTGGGATCAGGTCCCGGGATATAGGGTCTACCTGGAAGGGCCCAGCATGTGTTTAAAATACTGCTTGGAAGAAGTACCAACAATGAGAAAGAGAACCCCAGCACCTTTGAGGACTAGAAGAACTGAATGGTTCTAAGGCACAGCAAAGTGTCCCAGCAGGCTCATAGCTCCCTATTGAGGTTCTCTTCTCAAGCTCTTCCATTAGGTATTAGTTATGGGCAACAATACTGTGAACTTTATGTAGTTGCAGCTGACGAAACTAGTGGGGAAGCAACTGGTTTTGCTGCAGAAGGTTCCAGGTTGGGTATCTGGCATTTCCACAGCTGAAAGGATCATGTAGCAGAGTATGTGGAAAATACAACTGTTATATGTCACAGTGGTGCAATGGGTTAAACCCTTGTGCTGGCAGAACTGCTGACCAATAGGTCAGCGGTTCAAATTTGGGGAGAGCGGGTTGAGCTCCCTCTGTTACCTCCAGCTCCCCATGAGGGGACATGAGAGAAGCCTCCCACAAGGATGGTGAAACATCAAAACATCCAGATATCCCCTGGGCAGTGTCCTTGCAGATGGCGAATTCTCTCACACTGGAAGTGACTTGCAGTTTCTCAAGTCACTCCTGACATGAACTGCTGAGGTCTAGAGAGGATCTAGGGCGCATGTCAGCAGGCCATCTCTGTATCTGTTAAGAAGACAACATTCTGTTTTGAGCTGAACTGAAATTAATCTAAGGGCCCTTTCACACAACCATACAATCCAGATATATCAAGGCAGAAAGTCCCACAATATCTGCTTTGAACTGGGTTATCTGAATCCACACTGCCATATATTCCAGTTCAAAGCAGAAAATGCGGGGTTTTATTCAGCTGTGTGGAAGGGGCCTAAGAGTCTTTCAACAGAATTAATTGAGTGGCATAGGCTGATGTGTCTCTCCACTTTGGGGTCTCAAATAATGCGTCCTTTTGTGTCAGCTCATTTGGAACAATATGAAGGATTCACCCAAAGAGCCTGTGGATAAAAAGCAACGATCTTTTTACTTCCCTTGGAGATCAGACAAAACGGAGACAGAAATAACTGCACTATGTCATCTCTAAAAACTGAACTTGCACCACAGGCATATCAGGCCTCTCCTTGGCCAGCCCCCTTTTTTCCTTTTTTCACTGGTTCTCTCTGGCTTACACAGCATGCTGTGTAAAAAGATAATATTATTGCTGCACAGGGAGTAGCCAGGAGACAATACCCCCAATTTCTACTGTAGAAAAACCAGCACAGAGAGGAGGAAACCTAATAAGCTCTTAATACTTAGAGAGCTGAGCTCTTTAGCGTGCATAGAAATACAACAAATCACATTGATCTCGAGAAAATCTTTTGAACTGGAACCAAAAGATTAAAGACCGGCCGCGGCAATCCAGCTGTGTAAGGCACAATACCTCGGCATGAGTGATCCAGCTTGTTGTATTTGAAGTACCCAGGCCTGCATCGGCAGGCAGCAATGCCATCCAAGTCCACACAAACAGAAGTTTCTTTGTCACATTCCGGATCTTTGTGTTTACACAGGCCGCCAGCTATTGCAAGAAGAATATTGGAAATGTCAGAAATTTGCTGGAGAAAAGCACACCTTGACTGATTCTTTCCCTACAAATACCCAAATAGGATTAGACAGTAACTGCTAGAATCAATAACCTAATTCCAGTGTTCCCATCTAAGAAGTTATCTTAGGGCTCCTAATTTTCAGAAAGCAAGCACAATTGTGGCTCTACCACACTACACTGTTATAGCACTATTATTCCACTTTAATAGTCATGGCAACCTGATATAGAATCCTGGGATGAGTAGTTTGTAGAGCTCTTGGACCTCACTAACCTACAAACCCCAGAATTCCACATAATAATTTTTAAGTGGAATAATAAAACTAGAGTTCTTTGCTTTGTTTCACACAATGTCAATTGAGCTAAAAATAGTACTATGGATTATTTCAATTCAAATGGACCATATTACCTTTACCCATATGCTCCGAAAAGCTCTCATCTAGGAGTACCATATATACTCAAGTATAAGCCAAGTTTTCCAGTCATTTTTAAAGGCTGAAAGAGCCCTCCTCAGCTTATACTCGAGTCAAGGTTATTTATTATTTTACTCTCTTATTATTATTATTTTACTGACACAAAAACACAGTATGTCACAGCAAACCAGATCTATATGCTGGATTTTGTATCATAAAATCACCAGTTGAACACTTCCCAAGCGTCTAGAACTGTGTGATGTATTTTCGGATGATGCGCGCAGATCCAAGTAAGGTGGCCTTTTGTAGCTGACAGATCATGATTTTGTTTATTGTTTCCAAATGCTGGCTAAGATCTTTTGGCACGGCACCCAGTGTGCTGATGACCACTGGGACCACCTGTACTGGTTTATGCCAGAGCCTTTGCAGTTCAATTTTGAGGACTCTCAAAATCAAACTTCTTCTTCTTCTTCTTCTTCTTCTTCTTCTTCTTCTTCTTCTTCTTCTTCTTCTTCTTCTTCCTCCTCCTCCTCCTCCTCCTCCTCCTCCTCCTCTTCTTCTTTTTTACTCTCTAATTATTATTTTTATTACATTTATTATTTTACTCTATTTATTATATTATCATTATTATTACTATGTTTACATTATTTTATTCTATTATTATTACATTTGTTATTTTACTCTATTATTATTACATTTATTTTCTCTATTATTGTTATATTACATTTCCATTATTTTACTCTATTATTATTATTATTATTATTATTATTATTATTATTACATTTATCACATTACTATATTTATTATTATTGGAAGGCTATGTAAGCACATTGGTATCACACTGCTAATCCACATTTCCTTGTCGGAAATGTTTTTGTAGAACGGTAAACCTCAAATACATGTTAGAATAGAAGTGAAGCCTTTCAACAGATTTTATTCTATAGAGCAGGATGGCCCTCCTCTGGTTTTGGACTGCAATGCACATTTTCACATTTCCTAGACTCTACTGTACCTTCTGATACAGAGCATTGCAAGATTTCCTCCTGTTTGGGTGAAAAGGAACCTTTCAAAGGAAATTTTGAAGGAAGATTTTTTTTAATTCTTTAAAATACTTTGAAATAGCAACAGTCTTCAGTCATGTCATTTTACCTCTGTGAAGTAGTGTAAGGCTGGAGAGAAACTGGCAAGTTTCTGCAGGAGCTTTGCAGGCTCGAATATGGCTTCTCATGACGGTGACGATGTCATAAAGGGTGACATTAGAGACTAAGGAAAATGTGCTCAGGACGGATACTTGGATGGTACCTGCCTGCCTGAAGAGAGAGCGAAAGGTTTAAATTCTACATCATCATTCTGTAATATACAATTTGTAATGACACTAATGTAATTGGGCACTTTTTCTAGTCTTGGCTTGGTGGTGCAAAACTGTCACTAGAAGCCATCCAGGCACAGTTCTGTCACCTCACCCACTGATCAGACACAGAGTAATGAGTTGCAGTTCTGGGAAGTCAAAGGGTTATCCTCTCTTGGCTGAACCACACCTGGAAAGAGCTCAGGTGGAGCTCTACTCCTTGGCCACCGATTGCTGTGGAACCAATCCTTTGCACTGTGCAATCAGGGAATGGATCAGCCTTCTTTTTCAGGGTAAATATACTGGCAAATTTCTGTTTCCTCAGTGCATTAATGAAATCCTGGCTAAAATTTCTAGAGGGACATATGGTTTAAAAGTTAAGAGTAGAGATATTGCACTGGAAACAAAGATCTGCATAGTTAAAACAATGGTATTCCCCATAGACATGCCAGCTGGACCATAAAGAAGACTGAGTGAAGATTTATGCTTTTGAACTGTGGTGCTGTAGCAAAACTCTGAGAGTGCCTTGGACTGCAAGAAGATCCAACCAGTCCATACTCCAGGAAATCATGCCCTGGAGGGAAGGATATTAGAGCCCAAGATGAAGTACTTTGGCCACAGTATGAGAAGACAGGAAAGCTTGGAGAAAATAATGCTGGGGAAAATGGAAGGAAAAAGGAAGAGGGGCTGACCAAGGACAAGATGGATGGATGGTATCCTTGAAGTGACTGGCTTGACTCTGAAGGAGCTGGGAGTGGTGATGGCTGACAGGGAACTCTGGTATGGTCTGGTCCATGAGGTCACCCTAAGAGTCGGAAACGAACGAACCAATAAACAACAACATGGTCCAAAATGTAAGATTTCCAAATTCTGCACTGGTTTCAACTGATGAAGCCCCTATCTGATGAACTGTATAGAAACACATCTATAGTAGGAAGAAACCCCATTCTCTCTCTTTCTACAGAAGTTAAGAAAATCCTCGGGAACACAGATCAGGATGTATCAAAATAACTGCAACACATCAAAGCAGGGCTGGGGAAAGAATTAAAATCAACACCCAAACACCTTCATTACTTTGGGCTCCTTACCTTGATGCCTTGACATTTGAGGTGTAATAGCCAGGAAGTGTTGAAAGGGAAGCATTCAACTGAAAAGAAAAAAAGCAGGGAGGAAAGAATACATAATTTATCTCTGTTTAAGAATATGAGCTTTGCAACCACAAAGTGTACTCAGGGCCAGCAACACCAGAAGGTTTAGTCAGGCAGCTGCACGTGGCTGAGAATCCCTCCCTTGCGCTGCTTCTGAAAATTGTAGTTTTAGGGGTTTTGTAAGAACCATGAAAGTCTCCCAGTCTCCACTTACTGAAGAGTAGCTGCTACAATTGATGGTGCTCTGTTCTTCTTTTGCTCAGGATGCCACTGCCTAATATGCCTCCCCCTTGTGCAAGTGATCTCTTGCATGAAGAGGAATTGCAACAGAGATTGCATTGGAGATCACTCAGGGGATTGGGATGGGAATGTCAGGCCCCTTCCACACTGCCCCTGTATCCCAGGAACTGATCCCAAATTATCTGATTATCCCAGATTATCTGGCAGTGGAGACTCACATAATCCAGTTTAAAACAGATAATCCAGGACCAGATCCTGGGATAGAGGGCAGTGCAGAAGGAGCCTCAGTCAGCTGCTTCCTGGGCAACAGGGGAATAGACCCCCACTAATTTTAGTAGCTGCTACCCAGTAAGAGGAGATGAAGATGGGATTAACTGTGTAACCACCATGTTTACACATAAGTAAATCCACAACAGGACTCCAGCCAACAACATCAACAACAAAAATGCCAAGAAGAAACATGATCGCAAAACAGCTGGAGAGGGATTATCCAGGATCACGGACACATCTAAATCCTACCCATATTCTGTCACCCATCTTGTCCTGTAGGAAATTAAAAGGATGCCATTTTTATTTATTTTGCACTTTTTCATTTTGATTCAAGGAAGGTGCTGTATATCAGATAGGAGCGTTTGCATAGTCAGCTCAGTATTGACTGTATTGGATGGCAGCTAGAATTTTAGGTTTTCCACATCACCTACTATCTTTAATCATGAAAAGAGAGCTGCTGCTTATTTATGTATTCATTTGTACAGAGGATCAATTCTGTACAAATTCTCCAGTGTTATATATAAATGACACGCGCCAAGGTGTTTTTGTTAGGCTATAGCCTCTTTCAAGGTATTTTAGTTAGGTTATAGCCTCTTCCAAGTATAGCAGCTTTCCACGCCAAGGCAATGTGTGCTTGATGTAAATGTAAGTGTGATGTTACTCTGCTGAGACATACCGTTCTGAAGGGGAACAAATGTCATTTTTCAACACAGCATATATTATCAGAGTGCTTGTTATGAGCATAAGTGCCAAAACATCCATTCTCATTTGCAGGAGAATTCAGCACATACTAGACTAGGCCCATTTATTACTCAAGGTTATTTAATGTGCTAGAAAATACCTAGAGAAGAGGATTCCAGCATGATTCTATGGTCAGCTTCTGCACCAAATTTTTGCCAGAAGTTCTGCTGAAAGTTGACCATATAATCATGAAGGCCTGAAGAGAACTCTCTATGCATTTTCTAGGTCCTCCTGTGTGATCCTATGGTATGGTTCAGATGAAAGCCCAAGGCATCATCCATTTCAGGTAAGAAAAATAGGATACCAGATTAGCTGAAAACTGAACTATGCAAAGAGTCTTTACTTTACTGCTTTCCTAGTCTGTTCCTCACTGATACAAAAGATGCATTTTGCAGGCTGTACAGTCCAGAGGTCCAGATGTACTCAGTTTATAGATGGGAAAACCGAGCTGAGAGGCCATTTGACAGCTGCACATCTATGTGGTCCTTGGTTAACATACACTATGCCTCTGCCTTCTGAAGCTCTACTGTAAAGATGTTGGGTTCCTCTTCTCAACAGCTACCACCCAGTCAAAGAAACATCTTTTGTTTAATGCAAACTGCCTCTCAACATGCAATGTTATGACTATTGGGGAGGGGTTTGAAACTAAGGTTCCCTCCAAATAAGAATTCACCATTGCAATAATGTAAAACTTCAGTTGTAAAGGTAAAGGTTTCCCCTGACATTAAGTCTAATCGTGTCCGATTCTGGGGGGTGGCGCTCATCTCAATTTCTAAGCTGAAGAGCCGATGTTGAACTGCTAGGTTGGCAGAAGCTGGGGCTAACAGTGGGAGCTCACCCTGCTTCACGGATTTGAACTGCCAACATTTTGGTCAGCAAGTTCAGCAGCTCAGCGGTTTAACCTGCTGCACCACCAGGGCCACTGGGGCTGGTGTATGGACTACAGTCCACCCTGAAGCAGACTTTGCTGCTGTGTGGAACTGCCCTTAGTATTTACAGTGTCCTTGGTTATTTATAGAAACCCTTACTTCTTTAAAGATACCAAAAAGACACAAACCTAAGAATACTATGGGCCTTGGTCTCTCCAATAGGAAATTTGGAGACAGAAGTAATTTTTTATTTGTGGGAGGGTACCCTTATGGGGTGGTAATGCAATACTTCCATCCCCCCGCCTCACAGCTACACCCTGATCACATGTCACTATCGTCAATGAAATTCTAGGTCATCCTTTGACACTCACCATGTTCATGATATCTTCTTCAACTTGATGAAGCTCTGAATACTTCCCTCCAGTAGTGTTAAATGTCAACGGAGACTGACCAACAAATGTTCTCACTAAAGACAAGAAGATGCTTGTTATCTAATAATACGGCTAGATTCCTCCTTCTCCTCTCCTCTGGGAAGAAAGCCATCTTGAGTAGAAGAAAAATTAAGAAGTATAGTCTAAAACTTGAGACAAAAGATGATACCATTTTCTGCAGGGTTTTTTTTGGGGGGGGGGGCTTTTCTCCTTCCTTAACAATGCTGTTGATTGCCCATGAAAATTATTTGGAATCACTGAGACCTACGGTGTGTTGTATCTCAACAACACAGACATCTGTGTGTATGTGTGTTTGTTTGTATATAGTTGGCTGCTCTCATAGGAGCTGGTATAATGAACTTCGGAAACTGATTGAACTTCCAGCTAGGATTACAGTTCCCCAACTACAACTTTTCCAAGTTCTGTGTTTTAGCATGGCAATTCAATCAGTTATCAGAGTATTTCATGGCATGAAATCATTGTGTGGCTTCACACAAATGTTTTGGACTTCACGCCAAAAGGCAATTAAACAATTAAGTCTAGGTTCTATGAGGTGTCTAGATAAAAGGGAGTCTGCTGTATAATCAAGAATACTGATAGTTACATGATAAAACTTTGAAGTTTTTGATGTGCATAACCACATAAATTTCATGCTAACATAAAGCAACAGCCATCAAAATACAGTCATAAATCAAGAAAATTATGTCTAAAGGTATTCCTGGCTAACACAACCAATCCTTTTAAAATTAAAAGATTTAATCTCTCTGTAGATTTATATCTTACTAAGAAGCTTATTTGCTTTCGCTCTTGTCCTTTTTGGTTCTCTTACCTAAATTGCACTTTCCTTTTTCCATCTGGTAACCCAGGAGACAAGTGCATTTGAACGAACCTTGTGTGTTAACACATGCGGCTGATGCTGGGCACGGATTAGACAGACACTCATCTACATCTGAAAAAAAGAGATAAAACACAATCTGTAGCAGGAGACCTTCCACACTATACAACTATAAGACTATGATTCCACTTTAACTGCCATGACATATCCTGGGATTGACAGTTTAGAATTTACTAGACTCAGCCAGAGCCCTTCCACACAGCCATATAATCCAAGGCAGAAAATCCCACAATATCTACTTTGAACTGGATTATCTGAGTCCACACTGCCATATATTCCAGTTCAAAGCAGAAAATGTGTGATCTTATTCAGCTATGTGGAAGGGGCCCCAGAGAGCTCCCCGAGTGCTTCTGATAAACTACAAATCAAGTGCCTAGCTTTCCAAACTTTCCGTGTTGGTGACACACCTTTTAGATATGCATCTTTTCACAATATGGTCATTCTGTTTTACTAGGAAACCAGAGGTTAAACTAAACCCCTATAAGTATTTCATACAATATATATTATTGTAAAATATATGATACATATATAAAATAATATATATAATATATATGTTTCATATAATCTTTACTGTAGAAACAAAGCTTGGAAAATTTCCCTTTACATTTCTTAGGTGCTACACTTGGTTCTTATATAGTTTCCTCAATAGCTGCTCCATCACAAACATCACTGTCAACATATTTTCTACTCTTAATTAGAAGCGTATCCATTTTAGTGGTAATTACTGCAACTCAATCAACAAATTGTGTAAATTCTAACAGTTGTAACAGTGCCTACACTTGAACAGCATCATCACTAAACTGCAGTAGTGATTAAACCTCTGATTGTTTTTAAATGGAATCTGGATGGTCATCTGCTGTGCATCCCTAGCTGATAGAGATTGGGCCAGATGCCCTTTGGAGGTCTCTTCCAACTCTAATGAATTATAGACTGGCTGGAAATCCAGTGAAGTCTCCTTCTCTAGAGGCTTTTGAACTGAGACTGGATGGCTGTCAATGGGGCTTTGACTGTGTCTTCCTGTCAATAATTCTATCTGGGTGGGAGGGGGACGGGAATTTTTCATGCAACACATCTGTAGATTACAGGCAACACACTAGTGTGTCTTGACACAGTGTTTGGAAAATTCTGGCCTAGAGTGATGGTGAGGTCTCCTTCTCTGGATGTCTTCACACAAAAAGGCTACCTGCTGGAGATGCTTTAGTTGGAGATACTACATTAAGCAGGGATTAGACTTAATGGACAATAAAGTCATTAATTTCTCTTTAAGAGAATGGCATATCTGCCATTATACACAGCTTACCTATACTGCAGTCTTCTCCTTGCCAACCAGGTAAACACTGGCATTGGAATTTGCCTGTCAAACTGTCCAATACACACTTTCCATTATTTAGACACGTACCAGCAGTACACACATTGGCTGTGAAACAAAACATTTGAAGTATTAAAAACATCAAACTTTCTGCATCCCACAAATTTGGTTACTTTGGCAAAACATAGGTTCATAAGAAACATACAAATCATTTCTAACTCATGCGAACCCTAAGATGAGTGACACGAGCCCATTGTTCAGAAGCATCATAAGGATGATTGATGCTCAGTAATATGAACTTTTGCTTATACCGCTGGATTCAGTATCCATGTTAATTAAAGGGTCCAGTAAATGAGGGGCCTATGGAGTCTTGTCAGCAACTGGCAAGACATTTTCTACCTAAGAGATTCCACTTAAACACGAGGGAGAACTTCCTGATGGTAAGAGTTGTTTAGGGGAATATGTCTGGAGTCTCCTTTTCTGGAGATTTTTAAGCAGAGGCTAGATGGCCATGGGAATTTCTCCCAACTCTATGATTCCCTATGTAATAAAGACAAATTGCCATCCAGCTTCTACTTCCTAAATGACATGTTGAATGCCAAGCTCAGTGGGACAGTGTTGATATTTGTCTTATTTCACACCTAGAGATTATTCCTGCCAAATTTCAATTTTAGCTAAAGTAGTAATGATAACACTTCCTAACTGCACTGAGAATGCTGTGCCAGCAAACAAAACTATGCTATTATAGAAGTGGGCCTTACAATAAAATGTTGAAGTTCAGAGTCAAGCTAGCCAACCGTGTCCTTTTCTATAGTGCTCCATTTCATCTCCTCTACACAAACATTGGAAAAGTCACAGTTTTGCTATAAACCTCCCAGAATCCCCCAGCCAACATGGTTACAGAAGTTTTCCAACCTGTGCCCAACTCCAAAGCTTCTGGTTTTCTGCCCTACATCCAACAGATATTTAGTATTTTATGGCTACTCCGCATGTTCAAGTTTTTAGCTTTGTATGTCTGTGTTTTTTTTTAAAAAAAAATACATTACAACTGTACCCTTGGTTTGCTTCTGATACGATAAATAAATAAGCATGTTCAGTTGCAATTGGGCTTTTTTCAGAGGCTGTGCCCTTAGTGTCTGACATTTTTGCCTTTCCCCTTATTTTTGCAAATGTGGATCCCCTCTGAGTATGCTGATACCTGCCTCTTGTTTCTCAATAGTCCATTTTTTTCTGCGTGGCCTTAAATAACCCAGCACCTGAATCTGCTATTAGCATATATGATACTTTGTTTTTAAGAAAAATATCTTGGAGTTAGTTTTTTTTTACATGTATTGTATATGATATGAGTCATTTACATTTTTTCCTTTCTGGATTAGTTCAGTCAACTTATAAAACCCTCCTATGAAATTCACAGTCATTTTTCATACATCTTAAAAGAATCTCACAAATGTGCAATTTCCCAAAGCAAGTTGAATTCAATCTGGTGTTTTTCCACAACTTTCAAAGAAGGGTTACCTTTTCCATGAGAAGTTGGGAATGTCTTTGGGCTTCTTGACCGAGCAACTGTAGTTGCTTTGGTAGAAACTGAAGAAAAAGTAAAAGTCTCTGCAGTAGTTTTGCTAGAAGTAGTCAGGATGGGCGGCTGAGTAGTGGCAATCGTGTGCTCTTTAGTAGTGGTTACACTGGTCTTTTCTGTCCCTTCTGTTGACATTTCAGAGGTGTGTGATACCTTGGTTGTAGAAAATGGCAGGACTTTGCGAGGCTCTGCAGTGGTCAAAGCATCTGTGCTTGATGACAAAGTAGGCAATATTAATGTTGTATATGTTATAAGTTTCTTCCCTGTGGTTATCTCCACCTTTTGCGTAGTTGCTCTTGGCAAGGGAGGAGCTGTTGCTTTGTCAGCTTCATAACTTGTGGTACTTCCTGGCAAATATGTGGGAGAGGTAGTTAATATGGGAAGGGTCTTTCCAACACTGGTCCCAGGGATAGAAGTGTTTTGTCCTTTGCTGCCCTCACTTTCCTCTAAGGAGACTGTCACTGGCAAAAAATGTTCAGTAGTTTCGGTCAGAAGAGGAGAAAGTTCTGTTGACTGTAATATTTTACTATCCTTTGGAGGATCTGTCCCAGTTTGATTGTGATACTTAGTGAGGAAACTTCCAGATGTACGGGAGTCTATTCCAGTTGTTTCTTCAGATGTAGCCATAGGGACACTTGTTTCAAGACCTCCACTAGATTGTGGCAATGAAGGCGACGAAGCAACTGAAGGCAGTTGGGATGGCAATGGGGTCAATACAGTTGATGACAGCCTATGTGAAAATGTTATTAAAGGTGTTTCAGGGGTTGCTGAAAATGGCAATGGGAAAGCAGAGGAAGATGATGAGAGAGAAGGATCTGGTGAAGCCAACAGTATTGGTGGCTGAGTAGGAGAATGTGAATCCTCTTTTAATGATGTTGGTGAGGAAGTGGTAAATGACATGATGCTAGCAAATGAAGGTGTTGAATACAACTGGTTTGTGTGTGGCTCACTCACTGTAGAAGAGTACCCTGATGTTTGTGGGGCATGTGCAGCCAAAGGCTCTGTTGATGGTTCAGGGAAATCCATGTCACCGGAGGATATGCTATTTCCTTTGCTCTGGTTCACAGGAAATGAGGACTGAAGAGATTCTGAAGGGCTGGAAGTTTCTGTGTAAAAAGTGGAACGGTTTAATGAGTCAGCTGATGAGGTGCTGTTGTGTGAAATAGAGAGCAATGTCCTTTCTCCACCCCTGGTGAAGGTGGTTGAGATGTATGTGCTGTCAGTATGAGAAACAGAGGTTTGTTTGCCAGTGTCAGTACTACTAATTGGCTGGTAGCCTGTTCCAGTGTCTGAAATACAAGTAAATGTGATCATTGGTTAATAATATGAAATTTGCATTGATATGTAAAAATCAAACACAGTAACAACTTTTTGGCAATACCGCAAACAACTTATGTGACTTATGCTTCCTCTTGCAGAGCTGCCGTGTGAATGTACACATGACATTCACAAAACATTGGGAAGGGAAGCAGTGGGTGTGATCATTTATCCCTACCTTCCTGAGATATGGGGCCACTGTGTGAGCGTGCCTGTGGAGGTGCCACATGTCTGAGAGGTAGCATGGCTGCGGGACACTGTCTTTGTATTCTTTCCTTTGGGGAGACCTCCCACCCACAAGCTCCACAAAGAATCCTTCCCCATCTCCACTTGAGGAGCTGGGCATCCATGGATTTTTGGATCCATGCAGGGTCCTAGAACCAAATCCCAATATATACCCAACGGATACTAAGGGGATGCGATACCCAGAATGGAAAAGTTCCTGCCCTGGGAGATTTGTTCATTGCTCACTCTGACACAGTCAATGGAGCATAACATGGGAATCCAGCAGAATCCAGTACAAGGATCCAATATGTGTAGGTGCATGCCCTTTTTATTTAATTATCCAGATTCATAACCCTATGTGAGCAAGATTGCAAAGAGATTCATTGCAGCTTATATTAAATATATTATGGAAACAAATCCAGAATCTAATTGATAGAGGGCAAAGTTACTGTCGAGAGTTACTGACGAGTCAAAATGCACTCCCATCTCTCAGAAACAATCTGAACATAGTCCTCCTGTATAGGTCAATGGCAGGGCAAACCTATTGGTACTTTTCAAGCCTAACAGACCTGGCATTTGGAAAGGGTTCTGGCTGCTTGAGGGCTGTAGTCTCCTGCCAAGCAAGCAAATAACTGCCTACGCCATCCTCATTCAATTTTGTCCTCCTTTTCTGTTCTTTTTCATCTTTCCCAAACCAAGCCCTTCTGCTCTGACTTACATCCAAGAAAGTTCTCCCTTCCTTCTCCCTAACATCTTCTTAAAAGACATTGCTTAGATTAGCATGTTTAACAGCAGAATTGTGTTATGCACTTCCTCAAATACTCATAGGCGCATTTTAATTTCAATGTCATAATTCAATTAATTGGGGAGTCTAATAAGTGAGGTGATATTTCTAGAAAGCTCTACTGAGAATATCTCGAGTTTCAAACTACAGAACAAAAGTATAAAGAAAGAGTACAAAAGTAGCATTTTTACTTGCTTGTTTTGATTAAATTTCACCAAAAATATGCAGCCCAACAAAACAGGTTATATTGTAGAAAATATATGGTTGTTGTGCTATTTTACAATGAATGCTAGAAAAAGGCACAACATAAAACTAACCTGAAGATTCACTTTGGAAGGAAGAAGACGTTGGTATCCTTGATGGGCGGACACTTTGAGAAGTCTCAGTTGAAGGTCCAGAGGTACCAAAATCTGCTGATGAGAAGTCAGTTCTTATAGATCCAATATCTGGCGAGGAAGGGTTCAGTTCTGAGCTGTTTGGCTTTTCAGTATATGAGATGCTTTCAGTCACTTGAGCAATTGTAGTGTTCATGCTGGTTTGCATAGTTTCCTCTTCTCCTTTGATGAACAATGCTGAAGTGTAGGTGCTCTCAGTATAAGAATGTGAAAGGCCCGAGTCACTCACTGAAGGTTGACCACTTCCAATAGCTGAAATGGGAATTGAGAAATGAAAATGTAAATTATGCTCACACAATCAGAATTTGTGCAGGCGATCCCCAAGTTAGGTTTGTTCTTAGGTTGAATTTATATGTAAGTTGGAACAGGTACATTTTCTGAATGTAACTCCAGATTTACAAGTATATATATCCACACATACACACACATACATATATAAGCTTTGGTTAGCATAGGGGAGGGTTAACACCCCTGTGGAGATTGTTTTGCTGCTTGTGCCCCTGTTCAGAAGATTTCACCTCACTTTCTTTCACTGTGATAATTGGATTTTGAAAAACTTGATTGGTTGTGGAAACAAGGGCTGATGATAAAACTGCAGTGGGTACACCGTTTTCCCCTTTATATCTCTTCCAGGAGTGAATTTCTCTTCTTAGGGGTAGATTTATCTCATTTCCTGATATCTCACCCACCATTCTTAAGTATAAATTGTATTTAAGTCAGATGTTTGTAACTCAGGGTATTGCCTGTACATCCATTCTTATAGGACATGTAATTGCAACTAACCCCTTCCCATGTTTGGTTAACAGAATACGCAAAATAGCCACAGTTCATTGGATTGTCATGCATTCTAAATGTCACTTGGGACAAAACTAATTGAGTTGGGGAAAAAACACACACACAAAACACAAACCCACATATCTCGTATTATGCAAATATCATTATCCATAACATATTTTACTGAGTGTTCAAAATGAGTGTGTGTGTGTGTGTGTGTGTGTGTGTGTGTGTGTGTCAATCTGGTGTGCAATTAAGGGGTGGGAATGAGGGTTTTGCTTCCCATATAAGAATTCTGAAAACTTCCTTCAGTCCTCAAATTTTTAGCATTGCAGTCAGTGAGGGCACTAAAGATTCTTCTCATCTAGAAAGTGTATACTTGCTGTGTTCATATTTTCTTGATTACTTTGCCTATTTAATTAATATTAACATGCAAATTAATATTAATATTCAAATATTTAAATTATTACAAATCCAGAAATTTGGGAACTGAAGGAAAATTCGTGGAGGGCAATGCCCACATCCTCTCCCACCCCAATAGCAACACAGAATGTGTATACTGATGAACCAATGGGAACACATACTTATATGTATATAATATATACCTAAACCTAAAGATTTAGTTTGCATGATCCAGCACAGTGTGGCATAGTAGTTTGAGTCTTGGATAATGACTTTGGAGACCAGAATTTGAATCACATTTCAACTATGGAAACCCATTGGGTCACCTTGTGCTAACCACATTTTCTCAGCCTCAGAGGAATGCAAAGGGAAACCACCTCTGAGCATATTCTGTCAAGAAAGCATCATAATAGATTTGTCTTTGGGTTATCATAAGTTGGAAATGACTTGAAGGCACACAACAACACAGACCTACACAAATTTTTTTTCAGTCAGGAGCAACTTGAGAAACTTGAGTTGCTTCTGGTGTAAGAGCATTGGCTGTCTGCAAGGACTTTGCTCAGGGGACACGCAGATGTTTTACCATCCTGTTGGAGGCTTCTCTCATGCCCCCTCATAAGAAACTGGAGCTGACAGACGAAAACTCACATCGCTCCCCGGATTCGAACTGCCAACCTTTCAGTCAGCAGTCCTGCTGGCACAAGGGTTTAACCCATTGCGCCACCGGGGGCTCCACCTACGCAATGCAAATAACATTGTACAGCAAATTCATCCTTTTGTCTCTGTCCTAAGAAAACTCACTTGAGGAATCCTGTGGTGGAGATGAATACATTGGAATTGAGGAGGAATGTTCAAGTGAGCTCTCTGTAGAAGCTGCAGTGGATTCCGCTTCACTTAATGAGACGTTGTATCTTTCCGTCTCTGCCACAGATGCTAATGTCAAGAATGGATGTGAAGAATTAAAAGTTTTGGTATCATACATGCTTATATCTACATCATCTGGAGAAGTGCTGTTATCTGGCAGAGATCTCAAGGTCCTTTCTCCACTATGTGTGGATGTGGGAGAAAGGTATCCACTAGCTGTAGAAACACTGGGAAGCCTTCTTTCTTCATCTGTTCCTTGATCGGTCAGAATATTGTTTCTAGTGCCTAAAATGAGATTGAATATGGAGAAGAGGGAGAGAAAATAAACGCTCCATAACCATAACTTCTTACAATACTTTTAAAGTCTTAACCATATGTCAGCCTTCACCGCCTAATCCATAAATCTTTTTGAGACAAGGCTTAAATGTTTAAATAATTTTGATTTCAAAGAAATATAAAGCATGCCTGTTTCTGGATGATACATGCTAGAGTTAGCAACTGGAACCCAGATGAACTTCAACGTGTCTTTGTCCAATTTACATCCTGAAGATTTCTAGTTCCAAAAAGATTTATGTGATTACAGCATTACAGCAGAGCAAAGCAAGTTATTTTTAATGAAAAAAGGTCAGTGGGTATTGTAAATGTTGTACATTAGTTCTGTAAAATCGGAAATGCCTTCACTACTTCACTTTAAATAATAATTTCATAATTTGAAACTAAAGGCTTGCTGTGTATTTGTATGTGTGTACAATAGTTTAAGAAGCCAGCTCACTTCTTATTGCCAAAGAGATATGCTATTCCTCAATTCAAAAACAGTAGTGGTATACATTTGTGTTTTGTAGATACAGTAAGAGTCTCATAACTAGGGAACCCATATCTTTACCTGCAACCATGTGAAAATGGTCTCCTAGGTAATTTGTTGGGCCCTCCAGGTGATTCTAGGGCAGTGGTACCCAAACTTCAGTCCTGTAGGGTTTTTTAGATTTCAACTCCCAGAAGACCCAGTATTATTGGGCAACAGCAAGGAATTCTGGGAGCTGAAGTCTAAAATGGGCAGAGGGCACAGTCTGTGGCCCTTTGGATGTTTTGGACTTCAACTCCCAGAATTCCTATCAATTGAACAAGCTGGCTAGGGTCTCTGGGAGTTAAGAGTCCCAAATACCTGGAGGGTATGCAAGTCTGGTCCAGGGTATGCTTCCCCCAGATGTTTTGAGTCCCCTTCGGGAGAGATAAAGTGGGGTATAAATAAATGGGCACAAGCCAGTAAAGGTGGTCCCAGTGGTGATCGGCACACTGGGTGCAGTGCCTAAAGACCTTGGCCTACACTTAAACACAATTGGCACTGACAAAATTACCATCTGCCAGCTGCAGAAGGCCACTTTACTGAGATTTCCATGCATTATTTGCCGATACAACAGCCAGCAGAGTGATCTTGTCTGCTGTGGACTCATCTTGTTGTGTTTCAAATGATGATGATGATGATGATGATGATGATGATGATGTTACCACATAGATGCTTTGGTGGACCAAGCAAATTCCTAAGGAGGATAACCTTCTACAAAATTCTAGGTTCTCAAAGGCCTCTTTATGGTGTTTGGTTGTATATGCAATATCACTTAATCATAATCCAGCTGGGAACTTATGGGGGGGGGGAGTCTTACTGTATATATGTATATACAGTAAGCTGATATGGGGGGGGGGGGGTCTTACTGTATATATGTATGTTAGCACCATTTCAAATGCTTCCAAAGGGGAGAAAACTGCCTGTGAAATATATTGAGTTCTGACAACCAAGAAGGAGTTGTTTGATCCCACCACAGACTATGGCTGGCTTCATGCTTAGACATGTAAAACACAGACATGCCCTCAAAAGATACATTTGTTGCTGAAAACAGACTTCAACTTTCTCAAAAAAAATAAAAGTGGGAAGGAAAAGAAAAAGTGAAATCTAAGAGATCCACAGGAAATGAATTAATTTAGTTCCTTATTTTAATGTATATTTAATACAAATATTTTATGCCACTCTCTTTCTGAAGATCTCCGGGTGGCATACAATAAAAGCAGTTGGATCTCTATTGGACATTTAACTGAGGCAATTATATAAATATAAAAACTTACTTGAAAGATCTGTTGTAGAAAATAAATATGAAGAGGCGTTGGAAGAATGTGTAAATAAAGATTCTCTTAAAGATTCAGTGAAATCTCTTAAAGATTCAGTGAAATCTCTCCCTGTAAACAGGGAGCTTTCCTTTCCATCTTGCACTGTAGCAGATGAGGTCTGGGTTAAAACTGATGAACTGACATTTTCCAAATGTGTAGCTGAGAGATTAGTTGTATCTGTAGATTCGGTCCATTTGGTGAGCATTTCTACTGTCCCTTCTCCACTTCTGGCAAGGCTGGCAGCAGAAGACACACTCATGGTTTGAGTTGCCACCTTTTCTGCACTGAAGTGGCCAGAGGGATGCTGGTGGTCCCTGGCATCTAGATGAGAATAAACATGGCTCAGGACTTCCTGTGCATAATAATAAATGCAGACTAGTGCAGGGTAGATACATCGTGTTTCATGGGGGCACAGAAATGAGACTAGGGGGCTGTATTCAAGTCAAAGTCTATACTTCTCTTATCCCTGCTCTATAAAGAGCACCAATCCTCATATTTCCACAGAAAGCCTGGTGTGTACCACTGATATTAAATTGTGCTCTGAAATCTATAACACATTAGATCTTAATCCTTCACCTGTTACTTCTGGAGAAGAAGGAGAATGTCGAACCGTGGCTTCAGTGAAATCCATTTCCTCAGGCAACGAATCCATTCCTTTGGTCTCTACCGGAGTCAACACAGTGGAAAAATCAGTTTGCCCCATGGAGCTGGAGATTTCCCTGCCAGAGGTTGTGGACATTTGTGACAATTTATGGGAACTGCTGGCATCTGTTATTGTTTCCAGTGTCCTCTCTTCACCACTGCTAGATAGGTCCAGGACAGATGTGATGTTCATGTGAGAAATCAAAACATCTCCCTCTGTGTTTGAGCTGCTGTTCAGCAGACTAGTGTCTTCAATAGCTGAAATACAATAATAAGAAGATAGATGTGCCATCTCCATGTTCTGATAATGCATCACACAATTCCTTGCAATTGCTTATTTCACTTCTAAAAATATTTTACTATTATTTCCAATGCTAGGGTAGTGGAACCTATGGTTTTCAAGATGTTGTTGACAGTTCTCACCAGGACCAGTCAGAATGCTGAGTGCTTGGGAATGATAAAAGTTATCATCCATCAACAACTAGGTCACAAGTTCCTTGGGTCTGTTTGCATTGAAACAATGTAATCATGGAAAGGATATCATTGACTAAAATCCTTATCACAAGGACTCATTTTGTGTATTGGCCAAATAAAAGTTTTATTACTTCTGTGTTAAGTCTGTCAATGAGACTGCATCCCTCTGGATTTGCAGTTTGGTGAGGCATCAGCCCTCTTTGGCAGAAAAGGTTAAAGATCTTGATAAAATACAACTCCCAGGATTCCATACCACTGACCGACAACAGTTAAAGGCATATCAAACTGGATTATTTCCATAGTGTAAATGCACCCTTACAAGGCCAATGCAATCTACCTAACCCTTGACAGTTGCCCATCCCTCATCTTTGTGCTTTGTGAAGTAAGGTGACATCTTGGAGGCCTTTTTTAATCACTCCAATCTCTATACAGGAAATGAAGCTATAAATATAACACCTATCAAAAGTGGGGCATTATCAATATATCACTCTATGAGAGATGGAAAGCTATAATGATGGAAATCATTATCATTCACCTGTTGTTTCTGAGAGATCCTGATAAAGTGTAACTGCTTTCTCTGTGAAATCTGTGTCTCTTGGTGACAAATCCATTTGTCTCGTCTGCACCAAAGTCAAAGCATATGAAGAATCAGGTAGGCTTGAAGAGCTGGAAATTTTATCACTAGTGGTTGCGGACATTTGTGTCGCATGGTGAGAACTACTGACATCTCTTAATGTTCGTAATGTCCTCCATCCACCTTTTTCAAACAGACCTGGAAGAGATGCACTCTCTGTGTGAGAATTGGAAAAGCCTCTCTCTGTGTTTGAGCTGCTCCATAGCAGATTACCGTGTTCTTCAGCTGAAATGCAACAATAATACCATAGGTTGTAATTTTAACAATAATTGTAATTTCAACAGTAACTTTTGACTGCAATTAAAAAAAATAACATTAATTTTAAACAATTAAATTTTATAAATAATTTTAAAATGTTAAATACATAAAAGTGACAATAATTTAAATATTTTAAAATAATTTTAACAATCAAAATTGCAGTTAAAAACTTTATATGTTGAAACTCTGTGATAGATTAATCTTAGAGTCAGAAATGACTTGAAGGAACAGAACAAAAGTGATATTTGTAGCTTCAAAGCCTGGCTGCTTCCTGCCTGGGAAGACACTTTGTTGGGAGATGTTAGCTGGCCCAGATAGTTTCTTGTTTGGAATCTTCCGGCCCATTGGGTTATATGTCCTTTGATACTAACTTGCTGGTTTCCTCTTTTCTTCCTCTCCCCCCAAGCATTATTTTTACTAACTCTCTTCATTGTAATCCCAATGGGCCGAAGATATCCAAAATAATTCCAGACAAGAGACAATCAGGGTCAGCTAACACCTCCCAACAAAGGATCCCCCAGACAGGAAGAAGCCAGGTTTTGAAGCTGCAAGGCCATTCAATGCTAATCAAGGTGGTCAATTGCAACATTCACACTTGCCTCAAACAGACAAGAGTTCTTTCTCCCACCCTGGACCTTCCACAGATATATGAACTTAGTTTCCAACAGACCTCACAACCTCTGAGGATGCCTGCCATAGATGTGGGAGAAATATCAGGAAAAATGCTTCTGGAACATGGCAATACAGCCCAAAAAACTCACAGCAACCCAGTGATTCCGGCCATGAAAGCCTGCGATAACGCAGTAACGGTAATAGCACACTGGCTAATAAAGGTTGTATTACAAAACATCATGGTTTTAGTGAGGCTTAACACTAAAATGGGCCAGGACTTAGTTTTCTAGTTATCTGCTCTGTTACACTTCTTTTTTATGTTCATATCCAATATTTTGGTTTTACACCAAATAAGTGACACTTTGACTAGACATCTAGAAAAAATAAGATAATAATTTTTACCTGTATTTTCTGAAGAAGTTTGAGTTTCTGTAAATATCACTTCAGTAAAATCAGTGCCTCCTGGTAACAAATATATTTGACTGGTCTGAACTGGATTTAGTATAGAATAAGAATCAGGGGAGCCTGAAGAAGTGGAGATTTCATTGCTCAACTTTGTGGATATTTGTGTTGCACCCTGAGAACTGCTGGTGTCTCCTGGAGTTTTTAATGTCCTTTTTCCATCTCTGTCAAACAAACCTGGAACAGATGTTCTCTCTGTGTGAGAAGTGTAAACACTTCCATCTATATTTAAGCTGCTGTTTTGTTGGCCATTATCTTCATCAGCTGAAACGTAACAGTGAGAAATTAGATATGTCATCTCAATATATCAAAAAATGTGCGCTGGAGAAGAATTCTATTAATAGTGTGGATTGCTCAAAAGGCAATTGGTCCTAGAAAAAAATCAAGCCTGAACTCTCCTTAAAAACCAAGATGACATACCATACCAGTTCATTTCTGGCCACGATTCTTAAACCCACTTATTTAATCTGAATTTTGATGTTGTCTGGAAGCACCCTAAGAAGGGGTAGCCCCTGTTTCCACAGAAATCTCCCCAGACCAACTGAACAATAATAGAGACATCTAATACAAAATGTAGGCCTTTACCTCCAACCATGTCACTTTACCTTTCTTCTGTATAATTTCTAAAATATTTTTGCCTGATGAAGAAGCTAATAGACCTTTGAAAACTTGTACAAAAAGATATGTGCAGTTTGGTAGCCAATAAAGATATAATTCTTGTGGAATTTTGTTTTATTTTACCTTGTGGCCAACATGATAACCCCTGAATACGTTTCCTGGAGAAATGAAAGTTTAAATATTTTCTTTCTTAAACATAATATTTTGTTTGGACATCAAAGCCTGTTTGCTGAATTCATAATGCCACTTTTTAAGAGCCAGCAATTTTACTTGTCAGAACACCTGTCAGAAACAGCTTTATTATTATTATTAGACCAATTCTTTAGTTCTAAAATATAGCTTTTCTTTCCTAGGTTAAACCCTTGAATTTGCTTACTTGTGTTGTGACAGTATTTTTTAAAATGTTCTTTCTTTTATTCAAAATGTGTTGATATCACATCTGAACACCATAAAAATAGTTTTCTGTGACATATGCAAGCTAGCTTCCCATTTGTGATATAGAGTTGCATAAATCAAATTTAAAATAAGTTCAACATATTTTTTGGGTCATTGCAGAGTCTGGAATTCTTCCCTGACCATGCCGTAATCAAAACCCTTCCAAAATCTACCTTCTGCCCTCCAACCAACACAGCCATTTCCATATTGTTGGGGAGTAGGTAGATGAGCATATCTACTATTGGAAAATAGCTGGACATGTTCACTGCATCCCTCTTTGCATAACAACATAAAAAGCAATACTGGTGATAAGTATGTTGCTTACAAAGTGGATTTTTGAGGCAGCATCAGGAGACATGGCTAGAAAGAGATATTGATGTAAAAGATACAGGTTGCCTGAAGCAGCATCTTGGCCTCCAGTATTTTCATATCTTTACCTTTTATATCTGACATTTTAACAACTCAGAAATCAGAAATTGTGTTTTTATATCAGTGTCATCTTTCCTGCTGATAAACTTTAAAATCCAAATGAAAGACTACAGATAGCTTTAACTTTCCACACTGTTCTAAAAATGATCCTTCTTTAACAAACATTTTATCTGTGATCCAAATCTTCTACATTTTGAGTTAGCTTCACCCCACACAATGCCATGGTAACTTCCCTGTCTAATCTAAGCATAGCCTTATTTGATCTTTCATTTTTTTAATCTGCCTATTTTGGATCTCTCTTTACCCTAGACAAGCATAATAGTTTCCCCAAAACCTTTCCTCAAGATAAGCATATCAGTATTCTGAATCTCAAGGAGATCTTTATCCTTCACCTGTTGTTTCTGAAGTAACCTGAGAAAATGTTGCAGCTTCCGCAGTTAAATCATTATCTTCAAATGACAAGTCTGATCCTCTGCTCTGTACTGGAGTCAAAGCATAAGAAGAATTTGGAAGGCCTGAAGAGGTGGAGATTTCATCTCCAGTGGCTATAGATGTTTCTTTTGTAGTATGAGAACTACTAATATCAATTAGAGTTTGTAACATAGCCTCTCTGCCTCTCTCCGACAGACTTGGAGCAGAAACATTGTCCACGTGAGAACTGGAAAGGCTTCCAGCTGTGTATGAAGTGCTTCTTATAAGAACATGGTCTTCAGCAGCTGAAACACAATGGGGAAAATACAGTTAAACCTCAACTTTCATGGGTTTAGCTTGCGTTTGTATTACTGCCTTTGTAATAAATGAGCCCCAGAACCTTCGAGGCCCTGCTGTTACACTCTTTCGTTCCAAAGGCAAAGAGAACATAGCCTTGTGGCCCAGAGGCAGGGAAAATAACCAGCAATCAGCTTTTTCCTTTGGAAGAAACTAAGAGAAACATCCTTCCATACTCTTTCCTCATTCCAAAGGCAAGGACAACTGGAAAGTCCACTAACCACCCACTTCTGCCTTTGGAACAAGTGACCACAAGGATTGGAAATAAATTTACATTAGTTTTTGTATAGTATTAGATCTGTTCACTGCCCTGAGTTGTATTATTAGAAGAAAGAAAAATTCAAATGACTAAACTAATAGAACACCAAGCCCTGGCAGCATCCCATCCCTTCATACTAAACATGTGAAACTCTGTTCTGACATCAGGAACAAGACGAATCTTTATCCTTACCTGTTGTTTCTAAAGGAGCCTGGCTATTTGCAACTAGCACTTCAGTAAAATCAGTATCTCCTGTTGATAAGTCCATCTGACTGGACTGTAAAAGGCTGTTAGTAGTTGTGGATATCTGTGTTGCATTCTGAGAACTGCTGATGTCTCTTGGAGTTCGCAAAGTTCTTTCTCCAGGTCTTTCAAAAAGAACTGAACCAGCCCTGCTATCGTTGTCAGATATGGAAACAACCCTCTCTGTAACTGAACTGCTCTTTAGAGATCCACTGTCACCATCACCTGAAACACGTGAAGAAAGTGGATGTGTCATCTGCATGTACCAGGAGGATTTCACCTATTTTGTTACATTGATGACATGCCTACCAATCTAATGGAAAACAGGTTAACTTCTCTACCTCACACCTAGAAAAAGCTCAAGGGGTCAAGGTGCATATTAAAAATCTCTATAGGAAGGGTTTAAATTTGAAATGGATGTCAGTAAAGAGTATGCTATGAAATATTCAGAAATATCTGATTTAGGAATTCAGGTGAAAGTAGAACAAGGCAAAACATACATTGTCTGCACACAGATATAACTGACTTTAGGAAACACAGTCCACTAAATACAGTGTATGTGTGTGCATGACTTCAAGTCACATGTTGACCTATAATGATTTCTCTAGTCTAGTTGGCCTTGTATCTGTTGGAGGACAATATCATCAATATAGCATCATGCAGATCATTGTTGGAAATTAAAATTTAGGAGGGGACTCATTTGACGTAAGGGTGGGAATACATCTGAGAGTGGTTTACTAAGGGAAGGCCTCCTCAAACCTGGAGGAAGCCTTGGCACAGATGCTCCATAAACAGCATTGAATGAACAATGGGTGGCAATCCAAAGGAAAAAGGGCCATTGTGGAAGCCACAGAAAATTTTGAAATATATGCATACTTCCCAGGTTGTGGCCTGGCAACTCTTCTCTAGTTAAACTGGAATCCCATTGATAAAGGAAAAAGCAGGGACAAAGCAGAGAAGGGAAAAGAAGCCAAGAAGGAGGCAGGGGAATTCAGAAGGGGAAACTGAGATGCATATTAACAATCCCTGAGACTCTTTACTTGATCAAACCAAACTGCTTCCTTCTTTCTACACCTCTCAGTTTCTCTGCTATTCATCAGAAAGAGATAGCATTGTAAAGTGTTAGAAGCTAACACTGGTTTTGCCTCCTCAGCCATATCATATACAGATGGAGTATTCCTTATCTGGAAATCCAAAATGCTCTGAAATCTAAAATTGTCCACATGGCTGGCTGAGATAGTGATATCTTTGCTTTCAGATAGCTCTGTGAACTGAAGCTTTATTTCATCCAAAAAATTATGAAAAGGTATTATGTACAAAATTACCATCAGGCTATATGTATGAGGAATATATGAAACATACATGAATGTTGTATGAAACATACATGAATTTTGACTTGGGTCCCATATATCTCATGATTCCAATAGCATTCCAATAGCCAAAAAATATTGAAATCCAAAACATTTCTGGATCCAACTATTTCAGATAAAGGTTTCCTCTTGACATTAAGTCTAGTCGCATCTGACTCTGGGGTGGTGGTGTTCATCTCCATTTCTAAGCCAAAGAGCTGGTATTGTACGTAGACACCTCCAAGGTCATGTGGCCAGCATGACTGCATGGAGTGCCATGATCTTCCCACAGAAGTGGTACCTATTGATCTACTCACATTTGCATGTTTTTGAACTCCTAGGTTGGCAGAAGCTGGGCCTAACAGCGGGAGCTTACCACACTCCCTGGATTTGAACTGCCAACCTTTCGGCCAGCAAGTTCAGCAGCTTAGCGGTTTAACCCGCTGAGCAAATCTGTATTTGCCCTTTGCACTCCTTTCATTTGATTAATTAAATTTATATTTCACCCCATGGTCAAACACGGCTGATAAGAATAAAGCAACGCAAATAGGTAAATATGGTTAAAACAAATATATTACAAACACATAGATTATTACAATTATTACCTACAAATCCCAAATCCTTTTCATCGCAGAAAGCAAAATGCCTTGTACTTTTCTTATAAAGATTTGTCAAATATCTAGTCCTCAAATCTTAATTGTGGGTCATTCTTTTGGAAGACACCGCCTTCCAAAAGAATTAACCACAGTTTTTGCTTTCCATGTTTACTGCAGGGGTGGGAATTATGGAGTACTCCAGATACTGATGAATTACACGTCCCATGATTTCACCAATAGCTATGCTGACTATGCTGAGACTTTGGAGTGACACAGAACTCATAGTTCTGCTATAAAGAGCCAGCAAATTCAAATATGTAATAGCAGAAATCTTTATAAGAAAAGTGCAAGGCAGGTAGTTTCTGCCACACATTGGCTTTCCTTCAGCCATCAAGTGGATCCATATAGGAGCTCTTTCCAGCTCAAAGCTTATATGCCATTATCAATTACCTAAAGTAGGTAAGTACTCTACAATTATGTCTCTATATGTAATTAAATGAAGAAATAAACACATGAACCCCAGGGGAGGATGGGGTAAAACATACTTGTATTTGGGGGAATGTGAGGATGGTTAAGTACTGTCCACTCTGACGTCTCAGCAAGCTGTGTGACATCCCTTGTGCTATTTCTTCCTCTTGAATGTGTTGCATGAGATGGGAACTGGGTTTGAACAGGAGAGTCAGTGATCTCCCTCTGAGAAACCGGATCAACTACTGTGATGCTCTCTGTAAGAAACAGGGACAGTCTTTCTGTATCTCGGTTGATTGTAGATGAACTGTTTCTACTTTTGCTCTGCAAACCAGATGTACTGCTGTCTGCTTCCCAGTGCCTGTCTGTATGGTGGCTGCTGCTGCCAGTAGCTGAAATATGAAGGAAGAAAATTCAATGCTATCAGAATCTAACATGCTAATCTTTCAGTGTCCCAAAAGGTTTTATTAAACTATGTCTACCATCAATGTTGTGGTCTTTGTACACAATCAATTTGATTTCATTTTACAACTATACAGTGCAATCAGAAGTATTTTATAATTCAGGGGTCCTCAAACCTTTTAAATAGAGGGCCAGGTCACAGTCCCTCAAACTGTTGGAGGGTCAGATTATAATTTGAAAATAACATGAATGAATTCCTATGCACGTTGCACATATCTTATTTGTAGTGCAAAAAAACCTCCACTTAAAACAATACAATAATTAAAATGAAGAACAATTTTAACAAATATAAACGTATTAGTATTTCAATGGGAAGTGTGAGCCTGCTTTTGGCTGATGAGATAGGATTGTTGTTGTTGTGTGCTTTCAAGTTGTTTCAGACTTAGGTTGACCCTGAGGAAGGGCTGGGTAAATGACCTTGGAGGATTGTATCCGGCCCCCGGGCCTTAGTTTGAGGACCCCTGTTATAACTGTTTACTTTTTCTACATGGATAAGATACAAAAAATTTAAACAAATGAACAGTTCTTGTTTTGAGAAAGTATTTACTGTTGCACACTTCAGCTTTAGTTGGTATTAATACCTTTACTTATTCAATTTCCTGATCCTATAAACAAATAACTCATTTTATAAATAAAACTGTATAATGTAGGTATTCCTACATGGGGAAAAAACTATTCATATTACTGTCTGATTTTAGTCAAACTGTTTGTCTAATTTTAGAACTATTTCTAAGGAGGAATTGGGTTTTTAAATGGTTTTTGGTGTTTTTATCAATTATACATCGCCTCAGAGGCCCTGCTGGGTTGAAAGGCATGAAAAAAAGAAAGAAACAAAGAAAGAAACAAAGCCTATGTTTTCTGTGTCTAACCAAACTTCTCTTTATTCTATTCGGTAAGTTTTGCCATTTCAGCGATTTTCACAACTTTTTACTCAGTTACTTAATGATAGTGAAACTCACCTGGATGATTAACTTCTGAAAATGAAGCAATTGGTGTCTCGGGAGAAGTTATCTTCAAAGTCACGGTTTCAAACTTAGCAGTATCCACAGTACTCTGTAAGGCCTCCTCAGTTCTCCTGATTCGCATCACTGGAGATGAATGGTGGGTTAAATGACCAGATCTAATCATTTCAGTATGAGATGTGAAGCTTCCTGTTACAGCTATAGAAGCAGGAGCACTGTTGCCTATTGTCCTCAATGTCCTTCCTTCAGCACTGCCAAGGGCAAGAAAGGTATCTGCATTATGTGTATGAAAACTGGAAGTCCTTGTTTCAGTGTCTGCTATTTCCACTACCTTTTGCCTCTCCATCATGGCTGAAAGAGAATGGGAGAGAGAAATAATATTAAAACACTAACATAAATGAAGCTTCTCTGAATACACAATTTGAGACTTAAGAGGGGATGGTAGATCGTTGAGTAGTTTGGAAAAACCATACCCCAATATGCACCACAAGTTGTGTAGGAATCACCTATTGTGTATTTAAGCTTGTATGAGAAATGTGAACATGTACACCCATGTGCTAACAGAGAAAGTAAAGATGTCATGGAGTAGAGCAGACATGAGCAAACAGTTGAACGAGAACCTGGAAACACCTTTTCACCACAAACCACAAGTTTACTTAAAGAAGAATATATAAAAATAAGCAAATTCAAAAGAGAGAATCAAAATTCAAAAGGTTATTTCCAAGATAGCTGAGAGTTCAAAATCCTTTCAAATACAGTCTTCAGAATCAATCCACAGAAAAATCCATAAACAAGATTAGCATGAATCCATGTCAGGCAACATATGCCACACATGAACTTGAAGCAAGAACAAACTTAGAAACCTGAATACATGAATTCCAAGAACACAGGACCCAAAAACCAAAAGCTGTTCACCTGAATACAATGCTGCTCTCACAGAGAATTGTATCAGCAGTAATCATTTTAAAAGGCCTCAGTCCCTCCCATAACATCATTTCTCACACACCTGCTTTTCCTTTCCTTATCTCTAAGCCTCTGGGAAAGGTGAGTCTGTCTTTGTTGTATGCTTTGTCTCTACAATTCCAAGTGCCTTGACCTAGGCAAACATTCATCTCCCACATTTCTCTCAGCCTGCACTTCTGACAGGTTCTCATTAAAACTGTTATCAAATTCTTCAGTCCTGTGAGAACTGCCAGAAGATTCCAAAACAGCTCTCTCTAAGCTACTTCTATCCTCTCTGGGCCCTCTGAATCTATCCCATCATCCCTTTCCTCATATTCTGAGCACTCAGAATCTGGCCAGGCAACAACACATACTTCAGGCTTCCAGGTCTTTTGGACTTCCAACTCCCAGGAATCCCAGCCAGCTTACCGGCTATTAGCAATTGTGGAAGTCAAAAACACCCGGATGGCCAAAGTTTGCCCATACCAGGGGTAGAGGGTTATGTTGTATGTGAAATATTGCATATTGCATATTTTTTCACATCATTTCAAATTTATAAGTCCTTAGTAAGACACTTTACAAAGCCGCTGTTTTCTTTGCTTTCACATCCCCCAATCTACCCAGCAGCCCAAAAAATCCATGAATAACTGTGTGTTGGAATACATCCCAGCTTTACAATTATACCCTGGTGACCTAATTTATCCTCCTAATTATTTTAACATCCTTTCAGGGGACCTGCAATGGCTGTGAGCATTTGATCATGATTCAGCAAATCTTGTACATTATCCATATATAATAATTTAAAGTCTTGACTTAAGCCCAGAGACAGGGAGATGTAATTTCAGATAATATATTCCTTCAACCCAAATGTCTTCTGGACTGTATAAAACAAAGGTAACTCTATTCTCCCCACAACAATAAGCTGGTGCACTCTGCTCTTGCATGGGTTAGCTTCTTCTGCTGAAAGCCTACACATTCAATCTCTGTTATCTGCATTCCAAAGAGCAAACACGCAAGTGTCCAGAGAGCTTATATCTGACAATGGTGCACAACAAGCAAACCAAGCATGCCCCCATTTAACAAACTGCTTATTGTGGCCAGTTTGGTCTAATTGACATTCTAAAGGCCAACAGGAGGCAGAGTGTATGGATTTGCACTGCCAGCATGGTGTATTAGTGGTTTGAGTGTTTGGACTTTGAATCCCCACTTGGCCATGAAAATCCATTGGGCGAATCTGGTCAAGTCCCACATTTTCAGCCCCAGAAAACCCTGTGATATGGTCACTTTAGATAGGCATAAGTCAGAAACCATTTGAAAGTATACAAGCTTAGTGCATGCAATGAAAACCACCATCTCTATAGCAGCTCTCAACCAGAAATGTGGATATGGCTGTAGGCATATGCATGTCCAAACACTACCAATCCCAACCTTATTGAGGAATAAACCCAGATTACAAGAGAACATGATTTTTTCAAGCCATTGCTGACTGGTGTTCTGAGAATAGTCATTGTTAAAAAAAAAACAATTTTATCTAAGATCTGGAAATCAGCACACATGGAACAATGTGTGCCTTATCCCTACCATGTCTGCAGATCTGCTCTTTGTTGGTATAGAAGCTCTAGAATGCTCCTTCCAATCTGTATTGTGATTATGAATTTTGAGCAAATCTTTTCTCTTCACTCCCTCCCCCAATAAAATTAACATTTATCTATCTATATCCTGCCTTATATAGCAACAGATCTCAGTGTGATGTGCGATAAACTTCCATAAACCATTTGGAACAATTAGGGATCTGGCACAAAGGCAATGAGAAGAGGCAGAGATGAAATGTGCTCCCATTCCATTAACCCTCACTGCCCAACCGAGAAATACACCCCTCTTTCCTTTCCTCTCTCTGCGCCTTCTTTTTTGGCCTGAGCAAATGTCATCAGCAATACAATAGGACCATTTGGGGCACTTGAGGTGGAGCGTACGGATGGTGGCCATTTTTAATAAGGGCTTTCTGCATGAGCTTCTCTGCATAGAGACTGTGGTGGCCATTTTTAATGGGGACATACAGACTTTTACAGTAAGTCCTATTTTTAAAATGGCTTATAGAATCATATAATCATTTTTATGCTTTTTAGATTTCTGCATGTCAGACTGTTTCAATTGTTTGAATGCACAGTGTGAGCCACCTTGGGTCCTCATATAGAAGGAAAGCAGGATAATAAATAAATATATAAGACCCAAATTTAAAGTAATTAATGTTGAATGTGTAACCCCACACAGATTTTCTTAGAACACAACTCCCATCAGCTCTAATTATCTGCTGTATTGACTAAGCCTGATAGAAGTTGCAGTCCGATAGCACCTAGAAGGCCACACATTCCCCAACAGTTTCCTTAAAGGTACAAGGCAGAATGGCAGAAGTGGCATCACATCTGAAAGGATAGGTTTGTGTGGGAGAAAGCAACACTGACAGTGCCTGAAGCTGCAAAATTTGACAACCAGAATTAATTTAAAAAGGAGAATGTTAAAGACTGTCAATGCAAATCATATAGATATGTGCCTAAATTGTTTGGGAGCACTCTTATTTGCATCATTAGTGGCATGTCTAGAAAAGCACTTAGAGGAGCACACATTGGTAACCTATTTATATCATCCTGGTTTTGCTGGTATGTTATCTACTAAAATTAGAACATCTTCCCAAAATGGCATCCCTTACTCTCAAATGGATTACAAGCTTTATCTTTGTGTCTCAACAGACCTCTCACCAGAAACAGAAGGCCAACTACAAATACCATGATGTGTAGTTTGGTATTTTCAAGGGATCAAAATCGTCCAGACACTGGCTGTTTCCACAAAGGTCACCCACTAAGAACCTTCCAAGCCTGACTCTACTTCACTCATATAGCCTGATAAGATCACAACTTAAATCCTGTTCCTGGTCAATTTGATGGCAACACTCAAATGAACTTCTATAGGCAACACTCCTAAATGGGGATTACTGAAAGGAAGCAAAGGAATGCAGCAGCTATTAACCACAAACATTGCAAATAGTTGAGGAAATATGTGTCCAGCAGCTAGTGAGTACAGGCATATCTCAGTTAACAAAGCCTCTGACAAATAAGCTCCTTTTAATAGTCTTTTTATACTCTCATTTTTCCTCTTTATCTACCTAGCAAAATACTTTTAAGTACTGCAGCATTCATGTTAAGGGGAACAGTTAAAGTGGACTGAAAAAACACATACATATTTGATGTCAGGTTGTAACAGCACATCCTCAGTAAACAATACAACAAACAAAGATTGATCTGAGAAACAGTGGGATTCTCCTCTCATCAACCATACTGCAGCAGTGTGTATTTGCATCCAACAGGCAAGGTAAACAGCAGGTCCCTCTGAAATACCTTATTGAGCATGTATAAGCAGTAAATCAGAGAGAAAAGGCAATAGCGGATAAACCTGCTTCACCCACTACTATCAGCTTGTTACAAAAGCATAGATCTATGACTCTGGCCATTAAAATGGGAATCATATGAAAAGTGGAGTTAGTACAAAAGGGCCAGGTGTCCAACTCAGAGAACCACAATGTCACTACAATGGGAGGGGTGGGAGGAGGGAAGAGTATCATTGAATACAAATATTGTATAGATTTTAGGTATAGATCTGTTTTATTGTTTTTATGAATATGTAAATTTAGAAATTTATTTTAAATAGAAAAAACAGAATAAATCATCCAAAGCTCTTGGTTTGTATAAGCCTGACAAGTCTGTTGGGTGAACAACTTCTTCTTCTTTTGAATATTTTTATTAAACAGAAACAATATAGCTTACAATGCATTAAAAACTGAGTAAGAAAAATAAGAGAAAGAAAAAAACAGAGTCAAAGGAGGAGAAGAAAAAGGAAGAAAAAATACAAAAGGAAAATTGGGTGTTGTGTGAACTTCTTGTTGGGTAGCATTTCTTAATCAACCCAACTGTTATTCTAGTTTTTGTGCATACAGTAATCTCTTTCATTTTCTTGCACATACTTCCAGTATTTAACAAAATATATTATGCTACTAAAACTGGTACTGTTCCATTATCCGGGCGGAGACCACAAGGGGGTGTTAGAGAGAGAAGGATATTCAATTTTATGGGGGGGGGGGATGGAGTTGAAGGAGGAAAACATTTTCCACCATTTTTTCTGGTTATTCCCCTCCCCATTTCCCATTTCATAAATGTGGGTTGTTTCCACTATGGCGATATGAGTGAGAGGAGTAACAGGAAAACAGGAGAAAACGGTTTTCCTCTTTCAATCCATCCTCCACCCCCTAAAATGGACTATCCTTCTCTCTCTGGTGCCTCCTTGTGGCCTCCATGTGGATAATGAAACAGTACCCTAGAACTTTATTTAGCTTTGTCTTCTATTTTTAGAATTGATTT